AATAATGAGTAATTGAATTATACATAACATTTTATGATGGCACTCAGTTCAGATCAGTTTGAGGAATCCAGCTATTAAACTTATTGTTATAGTGACTTAAGTTGGGTAGATCTACTAAATCAATCTGCATCAATATAAGAAAAGAGAACTTGTTTTTTGAAAATTTATATCTTACAGGCTTGTGTAGAGTTTATGTATCTTGATGCCTTAAGTATTTGCTGATGTGTGTCAACGTGTTATCTAAACATGTATGGGTTGTTCTATTTAAAAATAAGAAAGGAGTGACACTTGTAAAAGCCTTCAAGCAAATTATAAAAGAAGGTCGAAAACATTTTAAACTTCAAACCGATGCTGCAACAGAATGTACTAATCAACTGTTTCAAAGAACAGAATATTCACTTCTTTACTCCGCATAATGAAACAAGGACATCTATTGTTGAAAGTCTTAATCATATTTTTAATACTAAAATGTGGCCCTATTTTACTCATCATGGAACATACAAGTACATCACAATGTTGAAACTTTAATTAGTTTCTATAATAGTTCATATCATCGTAGTATTAAAATGATACTGATAGACATTAATCATTCTAATAAAAACGGTGTTGTAGAAAAATCTCTACATAATACCTACAAAAGTTAAATTTCGATTCCAAATGAGTTATTAGGTTGCAGTAGCATGACGCAATAATACAACAAGTGCCAATTCACAACAATTGAACTACACAACATACGTTTTGAAAACAGTTATGTAAACAAAACTATTGCTTTTACAAATAATTCAATTTAACACTCATACTATACTTAAACTATCCAACTCATAACACTCACATTAAACGTAAACTGTCATATATATTTAACAATGAGCCTATTTTCAAGATGAATATTTGCAATATTGTTTTATACTATATACAAAGTTTACTCATACAGTATGCATCAACATTTGCAGTCCCCTTGATGGCTTCAATGCAGAATTGGTAGTTCTGGAGGTACAACTCGCACTTCGATTTTACACCTTTGGATGTATGTATGAATGGTTTGTTGATGTCTAGCATTCTAAGGATTGGCGAGCTTCCTAACATGTTTTTGAACTATCGAGCTAGTTGACAGGTCTATTCCAGTCAGTTTCTGAGGTCTAACACGTACTGCTATGTATTCCTCACTTCTGACTATTTTACTCCTATCCACAGTTCTTTCAATATCTGCATCAGAACTTGTACTGTTCTTCAGTACAGTAATTCAAAGGGTGAAAATCCTGTACTCTCCTGTGGGAATTCTTAGTAGATAACTAATACTTCCTGCAGATACCTGTCCTAGTCACGTGGTCTTTCCTGCACGTTCTCAGCATGCTCTTCAAGACTCTGTTGACTCTCTCTCAAAGTCCACTACACCTGAGGTTGTATAGGGTTATAAAGAGTTGCCTAGTGCTGATGAGTCTACACACCTCTTGCATCAGTTTGGAGGTAAATTGAGTTCCCCTATCATTCAAAACTTATTTTGGAAAGCCTAACCTGCAGAACACTTCCGAGATAGCTTCTGTTACTTTCTTTGTTTCTATCTTTGAAAATGCTATATATTCTGGGTAAGGTGTTGCATAGTCAACTACTGTCAACACATACCAGTTTTTCTTGTCAGATACAAGTGCTTGTGGTTTGATCAAGTCCACAACTACTTTGATGAATGGCCCGGCTATGAGAGGCATCTCACCAAGTAGCAGCTTGGCTACCTTCACTGTAGGTATTGTTTTTGGCAGCTGTCACATGACCAGATGAATCTGGTAACATCTCTAAGAACCTCTGGTTAATGGAAGTTGCTGGTGATTCTGTCTGCCTTCTTCTTCACTTCTAGGTGTCCTCCCCCAAAGGAATCATGAGCCAACTTCATCACTTGAGTCTGGTATTCTGTTGGTATTATGATCCGTTTAACATACCCAGTAGAACTGCTTTGATAGGTCAGGTTCAGCACTTCCTCCTGGTCCTTTATTCTGTATGACCCTTCCATTTTGTCTTGTGCTTTATTTTCTCCCAATATTTCAGCAGTGAAGGATCTTTCTTCTGTGCTTCCTCCAGTTCCCCTAGACCTCATGTGAGAATCATCTTTCGAGACTTGCATGGGTATGATGTCTTGCTTGCTTTTCTTTTCTTGAGTTTTTTGTGACTCCAGATGCCTCTTCAGTCTTCTTTTTGTCTTGTTCCTCCAAATCTCTACCGTGTGATATATTGCCAATCGCCAAATCATAGAGAGGCACCTTCATACACCTACCCTCAATGTTTCCTACATTGTATGGAATATCCACATTTATTATTACTATGAAGTATTTTCTTACTGTCCCATCAATCAACACACACAGATGTACCTTGCCTGTCATCTGGTCATCAGATTCTAGACTGATTCTCACTGCTGCAGATCTTAGGACTTTCACTTTCTTGTCCCCTACTTAGCCTTCATCTACTGGCATGCTGTGGTTTGTTGGCACTTGTTTGTTGTTTGTCACTAGTACTCTTGACTCATTTGCCAACTTGAGCTGACTACCAATCATGCATTATTTGATCATAGCGATAGCACTTCCTTCTAGTGGTGAATCTGATGAGTTGTTTTGATTCTGTTTCTTCGTGGTGACAGTCACTCTTCTCTTGTTTGTTGCCATCAACAACACTGTGGGTAGCTCCATCTGCTTTATGTTGAGATTTTTGCTGCTGCTTGTTAATGACAGACTTGCACTAACTTGCAATGTCCCCCATTTTATAACAAGCATAGCATCTCGTATATCATTTGGTGGCATCCTGCTTCTGGTCAGCCACACCTGGTCTCTACATTAACTGGTTATTCTTGGACTTGCCAGTTATACTCCTTCCATGGCCATCCTTATACTGATCTACTAGCTTGATCATCTAGTCCATATATTTTGGTGCTCTCTCCTTTAGGAACAGTGCCATGTTAGTGGAGCACGTGATCATGAACTGTTCATGCATTAGAAGATCTGCCAGTCCTTCAAACTGAGTCATGTGAGTCCATCATGTGAAGTATCACTGTAGACATGCCACAAACTGAAATACAGTTTGTCCAATTCAGGTAAACTTCCGGCATATACCTTCCTTGGTAAGTTCATAGCATTTCAGCAAGGCCACTTTTAGCTTGTTATAGTCCATGGCATCTCCTGAAGGTATGCCTGCATACATTTGTAGGCCTCTTCCTGTAAGAACAGGGCTGAGACAGACTGCCCAATAAGTTTGTCCAAGTTCTTACTTTAGGCGAATATTTCATACCTCTCCAAGAAAGCATCCATGTCATCTTTTTATTCATCAAGTTTCGCAAGCTTGGGTCAGCTGGCACTGACCCCACTGTCATTATTGAGTTCATCATTTTGTTGGGTGAGCTTGGGGATTTCAATATTTTGATCTCATTCTCTGTATTTCCAGACTTTCATCTCTCCCTTCTTTTCTTTCTTGGTTTTTGTTCTCTCTCTCTCTTTATTTCCAGTCTTACCTTTCACTCCTTTTCTTCTTCCTCAATTTGTATTCATATTTTCTCTTCTTCTCATCTCTGTTGGCACGTTTCTTTCTCTAGGTCTTGTTGCTGTTTAGCAAACTCTCATAGATTGCTATCTTTCAGGAAAGTCATTCACCCCTCTTTATTCACTTATCAACGTCAGTCGACATGGTTGTATAGCATGATTGTAATCTCTACAATATTTTCTCCACTACTATACCTGTGCATAAATAGGCCTACATTTCCCACAGTTCTTTATGTCTACAGCTGTTTACCACTGCAGATCCTGGCTGTATGGCCAATGTCAGGTTTTTATGTATATGTTTGGGCCAGATTAATTACAGTAGGTGTCTGTGACTTGTTGGCAATAAATTTCAACTATAAACAAACAGAACACAGCCCACTTGTTATAAAATAATATATATTAAAACAAGTCAAATTTATATACAAGTGTTTGTTACATTGTTGGTTACCACAGTTGTATCCAGAGCTTTACATAATTGTATCTTTTCATCAAAGTCCCCACAGGCTCGTTCAATTACTTAAGAAGAAAATTGACAAGATGAATCATTCTTCTCTACTCTGTTATTACAATATACTCTGTGATAATTACACTTTAAACATCGCCACTATATGCTCTTTATTGCCAAACTCACAATCACACAGTCTAGATCTATCTATCTCTCTACCTAACTGTGTCTTATTAGCTTGAACTACATTTTGTACGAGTATTTATAGATTAACCAAAGCCTAGAACTTTCTACACACTACAAGATCTTATGATGCAACAATACTCAATCAAAACAACGAGAAAAACGTAGAAGGTTCTAGTAACATGACGAAATAATACAAAAAAGCGCCAATTTTTAACACTTAAACTACGTAAAGTACGATTTGAAAACAGTTAAGTAAACAAATCTGCGATAAACTATCTCTTCTAAAAATAAGTAAATTTAACACTCACTCTATACTTAAACTATCTAAATTATAACACTCACATTAAATTTAAAGAGTCGTGTTTATTTAACAAGGTGTTAGTGCTGAACTAAGTCCAGTTATATAACATTGTTAATTATTAGAGATGAATTAATTCCAATTAAGTAACATTGTTAGTTATTAATGCTGAATTAACTTAAATTATGTCACATTGTTAGTTATTAGTGGTAAATTAACTCAAGTTATACTACACTGCTAGCTAATAGTGGCGAGTATAACTTTAGTTATATAACATTGCTAGCAATTAGTGGTGAATTAACTACAGTTATACGATATTGTTACGAAACTAAATATTTGATTTTCCCACATATGGTTTTATATTAAAAAAAGTGTTTAATAACAATAAAAAAATTAACTATCCTCTAACTTAACACGTTGAGCTTAACTAGTACGTAGGTTAGAAACTATTTGAAAATATTGATACCTGGTTATCCAAATTTATGTTTACAGATTATCACTAAAAAACAAACATCTAATTTCAATAATATGTAAAAACGTATAACAACAACGTCCACAGAATGCATAAAAAACTTTATTAATATCAAACATTTCAACCTGTGTCTTTCTCAAGGATAAAATATCTACTGTTATTTGTTTAGTGATTCTGTGATAGTTAAAGAAAACAAACCGGTAAAACAATAAAATATACATACAAATAAGGTAAATTATAATAGAAAAACAACTCTGTTATTCTAATTACTCTGATATACCTAGAATTTATTTATACTTTGATCATAATAAAGAATAAGTTTCATCATTAGTTCTGATCCTATGATTACCTTTGTACAAAGGAACATTGCTATAATAACTATAAATCCGGGGATTTAGCTCATGTAATGAGAGAAAGATTAATAACACTCATCACATGTGCTGATCCTGCGATTAATTTGTACTAAAGAGCATTATTATAACAACTAAAATCCCCAGGAACCTGTTCTATGGTGAGAGAAAGGTCAATAACACTCACCGTATCTTTCGATATTGTGATTACCTCTGTACTAAAGGACATTATAATAACAACTAAAATCCCCAGGAACCTATTCTATAGTGAGAGAAAGGTTAATAACACTCACCGTATCTTTCGATACTGTTCTTTAGTACAAATGTAATTACATTATTATAACAACTAAAATCCCCAGGAACCTATTCTATAGTGAGAGAAAGGTTAATAACACTCACCGTATCTTTCGATACTGTTCTTTAGTACAAATGTAATTACATTGCTATAACAACTAAAAATCCGGGGAGTTAACTTGTTTAGTGAGAGACAGGTTAATAACATTTATTATATGTTTGTACAATAGAACATTTCTATAACAACTAAAAATCCGGGGAGTTAACTTGTTTAGTGAGAGACAGGTTAATATCATTTACTATATGTTTGTACAATAGAACATTTCTATAACAACTAAAAATCCGGGGAGTTAACTTGTTTAGTGAGAGACAGGTTAATAACATTTACTATATGTTTGTACAATAGAACATTTCTATAACAACTAAAAATCCGGGGAGTTAACTTGTTTAGTGAGAGACAGGTTAATAACATTTACTATATGTTTGTACAATAGAACATTTCTATAACAACTGAATATTCCAGGAACTAGCCTGTATAGTGAGAAAAAAGTTATATCTTCAGCACGAATTTGTCTTTGTTACACAATTAAAATGGACTGTTTGTAAAGTGAAATTGGGTTTTGTTACAAAATAGTAATATAGAATAAACAAGCCAAAAAAAGGATATAAGCAGATTCTAGAAATATAGAATATCGAAATCCAGTAAGTAATTCTGAGAAAAAATTATATAAAAGTATTTAAGATTTCCAGTAAATTAATGAATGTATTAAAAATGTTATAAACAATGTATAATACTCTAGGTACTGTTTATTATAATTATGCTATATTGTGTCATTCCACAGCATTGAAATGTCAGGTAGTACTGGCAGAAATTTGAACATGGCCTCATCAGATTAATGACTCAAAACTACAATCGTCTTTTGTCAGTTTTAGTATTTAATATAAAACAAGACATGCAGTATAACTTCAATAATTATACCAATTCAGAACGCACTTTATAACTGCGTTTCCAGATATCGCAAAGACAAACAGTAGAATGGAAGCGAAAGAAAATGGTCAAGGGAGTCGTCACATGGGTGATTACTGTCCATGCCCAAAAGCCATAAAAATGCATCTGAACAGGATTGGAATCTCCTCTACGAGTTTCCAAAGTGTTGATAGACCACATAGCAAAATTACAGACGAGGAGAAAAGTCACCATCTCCCGCCCTGGTTTTCTTTCCATTTGATCACTGTTTCTACAATAGCGACGAGAAGCTTCCAGGATGAATATTGTCTGTAGCGTAGCTTGGATGAGACAGGCTATAGCTGTAAGCAAGACTAATACAGTGTTTTGGTCCATCGTGAAATGACCACCAATTATACTAAACATGGTAAACACGTAAAGTCCGCTCTGTGCCACAATCAGCAGAATGTTGTCAAGTTCTATATTTCTGTAGGGATTGTATCTTAGCTCCTTCACTTGTGCAAGGGCTACAACTACTGCTACTGAAGTCAAAATATATAGTGCAAGTTCAAAGATATGAGCTTCCATGACAGCTAAATTTTTGTACCATTCTTTATTGATGAGTACAAAGAAAAGAATTAAGCTGATGATTGCCAAAACCAAAACAATAATACCAGTAAAGAGGCCTTTATTGGCATTGGTGCAATCTACTGTGTAGTGATGACGATGTCGCGTGAAAAATGGTCCATTATTAGTATTGTCGACATTGTTCTGGGCCTTACCAATGTTTTTCCACATAACGTATAAGATGGCGGCACAGATCAAACTGTACTCGATGGTACAAGGAAAGAGAAATGGGCTAGCATCTTGCACAAGTTCTCCCATGATGTTAGACCGACGACATTCATGACTAATGTATATACCTTGTTCGACTGATCTCTCTACCCGCTCATGATGAAGAGTTTGTCGCCTATTGGAGATCGTGTGGCTGTCGGTCACGTCTTGGTAGTTGTCAGCTATATAAAATTGGAAATACTGTAAATTAAAAATAGCTTCACTAAAATATGTAAAAGTAAAAGAAAGAATGTTTGTAATGAATATTATTAATGATGTATTGAAATATAAGAATATTGATAATATTGCTTAGAAAAATAAAAAAATAGCAAAATTAATGTTTTCGTTAATTTGAAGAACAGAAAATGCATTTGAAGTAAAATGGAAATTTTAATAGATATTAAATTCAGTTGAATCGTTACAGATATAAATGTGGGTACTTCTTTAATAAGTAAGTTATTTCAATACAGTTTATCAGCGACTAATTTAAAAATTAAATTTTCCAAGCGCTTACAACTGGCTAACACATAAAAAGGAGCAGTAACACGAAAATGGTTTTATAATATCTAAATAGCGGCGACAAAACGAGCCGTAGAGGAGTAAAAGTCAAATCAAGTGAAAGAGAAGTTCTGTCAGAAAAATGTTAGAAAATGTGAAGTTAGCCATCGTGGGAGTGAATAGTCTTAACAGTTGATATGTTAAAGTTAGATTAGCAGTATGATGGAGATAAGGTGAATAATTTGTCTTGTCAAAGGGTGTTCTAAACTAATTGAACCCGCCTGTGTGGACATTGACGGAAAGAAGACAATTATTGGAAGTTCGGGATACAACTGGGGTAACCCACAAGGCAACGTAAGTGTATCATTCACTGATACTATTGTGATAAAAGTAGATAAAATTTGTTTGGCTTGTCAACTGGATTCTAAAACAATTGAATTAGCCTAAGTGGACTTTTGACAACAAGAAGAGAACTGTATAGTGTTTAAGATACACCTGTGATCTCCATATTGTAAAGAAGTTTTGTACATACGTTTATCTTGTTTTGAATATATTATTTTATAACAAGTGGAGTGCATGCTATCTGTTTATTGTTCTAATTTATTGCCAACAAGTCAAAGACACCTACTGTAGAAGAATCCCTAACATCCATACATATACATATACCCAAAGTTCTGACAGATTCGAAGGTTGGTAATATTTAAGTTGTGACAAATATTAAAAGTAACAGGCTTAGACATTGATAATGACTACAATTAATAATCATTCAAAGTAAATGTTTTCAAATTTCAGAAAAAGTGTACCATATACAGTACAGTTTAACATGTAAAAAAACTTAGGTAATTTCAAAACGAAAAGAAAACATTACTGTTCTCCACAATGTGTTTAATAACTTAATTCATGGAGTTAGGAAAATACGTAGGTTAAATACAGAGATACCAAACCCTATAACCCGAGCGCTTTCGAAAGTTGGACCTTTCTTTTTCAGAGGCAAACTGTGAAAATTGTCATTTAATTTGTAAAACTGAAAACTATATTACTGTATGAGAAGAAACTAATATATACTAAGTTAGTCTAATATCTGTATATTCAAATGTTAAGTTCAAATACTTTGTAAGGTGAAAGAGTCCACAAAAGTTACACAAAGGATAAGGACGAGAAAATATAAAATACAAACTATGTATATTTAGCTATATAAGTAAAAACCGTGAAGTCAAAATTTACAATATTACTTTTAGTTAGCGTGATCCATACCTTATACATTTAGAGTTGGAATGTTTTATATTTACCTGAAAAACTGTCGTTTTGAAGACCGTGGAAGTTAAAATAGTGTATGTGTATAAACCATACATTATACTATGCATGTAGTCACACTGTAATACATAAGATGTTAATTCTGCATATCCTAACACTTTTTATGTTACTGTATAAATGGATATTGAAATTATAAAGTAGACAATCTTACTACAATGGACGTAGTATATATATATATGATCGAAATAATAAGTATGATGTCGCGCCACCTACTGAATAGCACCACAAACAATAATCCATAAATAATCCAATAATTCACACTTTGGGTATCCAAGTTTCAGACAATTAGAAATATAACTATGGTATGTGGAACAACTACTTCTTTATCACAGAACAAAGTTTTATATAAAAGTACTCTTCTCACAACAAGATTACGACTTTCACTAGGACTGTACATGAAGGTTTGATTATAACTTTATTGATGTAATTTGTAAACTTAGTGCAAGAAAACTGTTATTTCTTCAATAAAAGGTACCACTTTTAATATATAAAAACATTACAGTTTATATTATCGCAATCTGAACACTTTTCCCGTGCAGTACTTCCCAGAAAAATCCTTTTTTTAGAAAATGTTCACTTTTTCTAAATTAATTTCAATGAGTTATGAATACCGTGATTAGCAATTACCAGCACAAACAGCCGCCCATAGGGGGCGTTTCTGCCGCTAACATTAATGCAGAATTAATAGTATCAAACATTTTTGCATTCGAGGTCGTACCTTGGTGGATCAATGGTAAGTTTACAGACTTACAATGCTAAAAATCCGGGATTCGATTCCCTGCAATGGACATAACAGATAACCCAGTGTGACTTTGTTTTACAATGAACAAAGCATTCGGCTTATTTACAGACTAGGTCAGATCAAATATCTGGGTCACATCCTGGAAACATTCTATATGCTCTTCTTCCTGGAACCATCTTGCAATGCTCACTATCTAACCCTGGTAACACGCCTTGGTACACGCATCTATTACGTCATAGGCCGTGTGACCTCACAGCCTCAAACCATACCTGCTCGCTCACCTTCATGCCCTCAGGCGCTGTCACCTTTTGTGCAGTAAAGTGTTAGATATACTACTACATAAGACTGATAAATTTGCATAGATCTACTTTGATGTAGACTATATTTTTTATTTTTGAAGCATATGTATGGTTAAATAAATTTAAAGTGACTGGTCGAATGAATCGGTAGATAACGAACTCTGTACATTAGAAATTTGTGTTTCTACTCAGCATCAGACCACCTTATAATATAATCGGAATCTTTCTTGTTAAACACTACATTACTCTACAGCAATATTTATACACACATACTCACACACACATATATATATATAAAGTTATATGAGTATATGTACAACAAGTGATCTAGTCAAAAGAATTAAAAGAAATGATACAAGGCTGAAGGAAATATTATTAACTTAAGACATTATACAAGTATAGCAGCATAAGAACAAGGTGTCTATTAAAGTAATTCATACACGTATAGCAGCATAAGAACAAGGTGTCTATTAAAGTAATTCATACACGTATAGCAGCATAAGAACAAGGTGTCTATTAAAGTAATTCATACACGTATAGCAGCATAAGAACAAGGTGTCTATTAAAGTAATTCATACAGTATAGCAGCATAAGAACAAGGTGTCTATTAAAGTAAATACAAAATACTCTTTATTTTGCATTTTATGTAATGATGTATCATATTAATGATAAATTGACCATTTATTTGCGATTGTTCATTGTTTACTCCTTTATCATTTGTACGTTTTTATAAATATTTCCTATGCTGTACATATGTTTTTCGTATCGTAAATCTCTATTTCCTGTCATGACTGTTGATTTTTTAAATGGTTTTCTTAGGTTGTATCTTTAATATAAAGCAATATAGATGTAAATTTATGGAGTTCTAATTCATATTTATATTTGAGAGAGAGATAAATGTATGCAAAAAAACCATGTTCTGTTCTTCTTTCACAGTACCATTTTACGAATTCATGTTTTTTTAGCTTTTAGAGGATTTGGTGGCATAGCCAATCTACACATACCGCTTGAGATGAAGAGCAAATTAATACAGGGAGATTGAGGGGACATTACGCCTGTGCTACCTGTAATGAAACCTGAAGTTAATTATTCCAATAGTGAGTTGATTAGTACGATAATTACACCTCACCTACAAATAGAATTCAAAAAAGCATAAATGTGGATTTGATAAACCTCTCCTCCTTTCAGGCACGACAAAATTAAGCTAAAATATATGTTTGTTTTTTTCAAATTATGTTTCACTTGTTAAACTTTATACAGCAGTATTTAGTTATTAAAAACGAACATCTATGAACTGAGAAATCTTTGTCAATTTTGAATCAGTCATTATGACCAGATAGAAGCCATAATATAAAAGTTGTCAAAAGGAACATCATAACTATGATGAAACTTTGTAGAATGGACGGTTACTGTCTGTTGTAGAGACACAAGTGTAGTGTCTCTACAACAGGCAGTTGTCGTCCATTCTACAAAGTTTCATTATGAATACTCTGCTTAAACAATCTATCAAAGAACATCATAGCTATTTTATTTTTTAAGTAGTCTTTAGAGAAAAGAAATGATACCTTATCTAATAATATATATATGGAACAGAAACAACCGACTCAACAACATCTTTTATAATATAAATAAGTCCATTGCATTTCAATTTATCAAATTTCATTTGCTTATATAAATACATTACTTTGATTATCAACTTTATGCTTGCCAGATTGCGCCATAGAAATTTACTTTTTCGTCCATGAATCTACTACTCTAAACTGATAGAACATAATCTAAAAAAATAAAAGTTTCTATTTTATTTGAACGAAATAATATTGATTTCGAAAGACGTAAACAACATTAAATTGTTGTTATTGCTACAGATAATGTTAAAATATGCTTAAACAGCCATAAAGCTTTAAACAAGACTCAGCTTGTTTGTATCTAAGGCAAAAAATACGAAGAAAAAGTTAAATACATCAACATGTCTCTGCCACGCATTCCCAGCACAGCCAATTTTGATACCAGAAAAATGGAAAACAGTCTTTATCACAAGAAGGTATATTTACCAAATCCCATGTAAGTTGGTTGACATACACACGAATTTCACCTAAACCCCCAAATTGCGCTTTACTCACTGAAAAAGTGAGCAAAAGACAAAAATTCATAACTTGTCTATATCTCTGTTTGGAACTTGTAAATAGTATCTTCGTGCCAAATCCCATGTAAATTGATCAATATATGGCCGACTAATTGACTAAAACGCCAACATTATGATTTTTTTGTGAGCTCTGATCCCCCCCGAATGACTCAAAATGGCCAAATCCAATTTTTTGTATGTAACTGTGTTTAGCGCATGACAATTTTCAGGAGCCCAAAATATACATTTTTGAGTTGTTTCACCTCTGACCCCATAAAATGTTTAAAAATTAGTTAAGTTAAAAAAAAAGATGACTGGGTGTATTGGACCAAATTATAAACATATCAAGTTTGAAGTCAATCCTTAGAAAAATGAAGGGATGGCTGTGGACAGAAGTGTGTTTTACGAAGAGAAAAGAAGAAGAAGCAATAGAAAAACAATATGTCTCTCATAATTAAAAGTGGAACAAAACACGTATTCAGATGATAAGCTCTTGCACTAAGGTCCATTTAAAACTCAAAATTAAACGTAAACCTATGAGAAATTAAAAATCAGTAAAAATTCTTAGAAGACAATATATAAAACATCACTAACTAGGCTAGAGTGGTTAATAAAAAACTTCATAGAAAACAACATATAAAAGATCACTAACTAGACTAGTGTGGTTAATAATAAATATTCATAGAAGGCAACATATAACACATTAGTAACTAGGCCAGACGGGTTAATAATAAATATTAATAGAAGACAACATATAACACATTAGTAAGTAGACCGGGGGGGGGGGGGTTAATAATAAATATTCATAGAAGGCAACATATAACACATTAGTAACTAGGCCAGACGGGTTAATAATAAATATTAATAGAAGACAACATATAACATATTAGTAACTAGGCCAGACGGGTTAATAATAGATATTCATAGAAGGCAACATATAACACATTAGTAACTAGGCCAGACGGGTTAATAATAGATATTCATAGAAGGCAACATATAACACATTAGTAATTAGACCAGGGAGAGGTTAATAATAAATATTCATAGAAGGCAACATATAACACATTAGTAACTAGGCCAGGGGGGTTGATAATAAATATTCATAGAAGACAACACATAACCCGTTAGTAACTAGGCCAGGGGGTTAACAAGAAATATTTATAGAAGGCAACATATAACACATTAGTAACTAGGCCAGGGGGGTTAATAAGATAAACTCATAGAAGATAATATATAAAACAACAGTAACTGGGCTGATGGGGTCAATAAATGAAACTATTCAATTTATAATTAAGACTAAGTTACAAAAATATTTTTCTTCACGAATTAGTTATAATGGAGTTTATTAGTTGAAAAATTCTTGCAGGGAATCGTTTCAAAATGAATCATACTTGTAAAAGAAAAGAGATACCTCAAATTAAAATGCTTAGGTCATA